GTGTGTGTGTGTGTGTGTGTGTGTGTGTGTGTGTGTGTGTGTGTTTATTCAGCGAGAAGACACGTAGTTGGTCGTAATAACACGTACAGTGGATCAGAAAAGTATTGACACGCCTAGTTTTCCGGTTTTGCGATATCTCTATGAAAACGATTATATTAGCAAAATCTGTTCTCATCGACACGTGCATAGTAGCAATTATAATAATGCAAAAGATATCAAAATTCGAGACTCGAAAAGATACGTGCTTGTAATTCACACTGTGCTTAATCTGCGTAAAAATTACTTTTGCAAATATTACAGCCGTATGCCATCGCGCCCCAACATTAGGGAAAGAACTTAAATAACTCTTTAAATTATTTCATATTCTGCTCTCATAGTAGAATTGTAAAAAATGACCCTCACCTGTCAATATCTTTTTGTGTTTCGAATTTCGTATAATTCATTATTGAAAATTGCTATTACGCACATTACTTTTGTATGTAGTAAACTATTGTATGGATATTTTGTGTGTAATAAATTATTAAATAATGATATTATGTAATAGTAAAATAAAATATTACACATTAATTAAATTATTATGTGGAAACAGATTTTACGTGTTTTTTGGAGACAGATTTTGTTTGTGTGATTTGTTTTCAGATATGCCAATATTTTCTTGATCCAGTGTATACAGCCTTGTTCAAAATGGAATATTTTTATAATAGAATAGATATTATTATATTTAAACTGTTTCGAAGCCATATCGATCAACTCTATCAATTAAAAAGCACTGAAATATTATAAATACTAATTTTTTAATTTACCTTAGAATGTGTTATTACTTGTGCCATTTTTTTTTTATTTTTCATTGAACGAACTTATGAAAGTAAACAATTTGTTTCTTAAAGATTGAATATTTTAATAAAATTAAAAAATTAGAAAGAATGGTGTTGATCGATTCGGACTTTTAGAGGCTCATTCGTTTCGAAAATGGAGAAATTAAACAATATCCCATAAAACGAAGAATCCATAAAATATTGATATTAATATATTAACACATTGACTACCACGACCTATTCTATATTATATTATAGAATATTTTAGAATAATTAAAACAAGCCAACAAACTCGTAATAACACATATACATGTTCAAAAATTGCAGTATAAGTATCATTATACCTATTAATTTCGAAGAACGTGTCAAGTACTAATATTAATATATTACGTCGATTGTCACGATGATTTATTCTAATATAAATATTTTAAGATAAAGACACTTAACCATCGAAACAAACCACGTATCAAACACTCTCGTTCGGAAATCCTAAAGCAAGCATTATCGTATATGTGTTTCGGAAATGGCAAAATTAAATTGTAATTGAGAAATTTGTTTGCACAACAAAATTTTATTGATCATCAACAAGTTGGTGTTTTCATTTCTACGAATATTTTTGAATGACTGAAACGTAGTTGTAGGCTGGAACATGCAAAAAAATGAGTAACAAGGTCAACTGCTTCTCCACGATCTTTCCAGACGTTTAAAAACACGGTCTACAGATTTTTATAAATATAAAGTCTTCGTTTAATTTAATTCAATTGATTTCGCGCAGCAGTCAACCTTATCAAGCAGTTGACAGTCGTAATTGAGAAATTTTATTCCCTGTCATTTATCTGCGATATATACAAAATATTTATAAACATGATTATTCAAAGTAAGAACTGCTCCAAGAGTTTCGAGCGAGAGTGTACACGTATGCGTGGGCATACTAACTAGGTACAACGCATAAATACGCGAGCGAGCAATGTGAATCATCACTTCACTTCGGTCGGGAAAAATTTCCACAGATACAACAGGTGATACGCTAAGACTTTGTTCGGAGTCGTCGGGCCTCCTCCATGATATAGTTCTGCAGCAATTGCTCGTAATCGGGCCACGACTGGTCGTTTTCAAAGGCTCTTCGAACTTGGCACTCGAGAGTCGAACATTCGCTAGAACGAGATCCGTTCGTGACTTCGTGTTGCCTCAACGCTTCGTTCACCACCAAGGTCAGCAGGTTCAGCCCATCCCATACCTTCCAATTAGCTGAAAGAATGAAACGAGGATTGCTAACCGTGAAATCGATAAACGCGATTTTGTTAAAACGTTGCGCTCCGTTAAGCTATGTATAAAGCCTTTGCTACGAAGCGATTAAAGCTTGAGTCAACTGAATCAACTTCGTCAACGAGTGAAATTTTATAATGAAATTCAATTTCGTCGAATAAATCGATGAATTTTTTTATAAAATGATTATTTCGATCATTCTTTCGCCGCACATTTAAAATTAAACTTGTCAAGCATGTTTGAAAAATGCATCAAGTTTTTTAACGAAACGAAATTCAAAGTCTATTTTCTTCGAAAACGAGACAAATTTCATTCTATACATTTTTACTTATTTCATGTGCGTGATACAACCTTCTATTAATTATCCTTTCCTGTCACGTCCAGAATTAGCTAAATTCGAGTATAGTTTATTTTATTCTCTCTTCTCGACTTATTTTTAGACGTAGAATAACAACTCTGACCGGTTGTTTCGCGATTTTGAAAATTGTATATTTCAGAAATTGCAGTCACTCGATGTAAAATTGTAAAATTGTTCATCTTCTCTTGTCGAGTCAGTACAACATTATTAGTTAGACAAAATAATACGAAGATTTTTTTCACTTAAAAAGCAGACGAACGAGCAATTTTTTTGTCGAACGAACGTGAGTCATTTGAGTCAGCTTCATTGATATTACATATATATTGAAAGTATACAATTATATTTTTTACTATTATATACTACTATTATACTACTACTATACTAATTATACTTTTTACTACTATATACTGCTACTAAAAGTATACAATTATACTTTTTACTACTATATATATATATATATATATATATATACACATGCACAGTCAATCAACTTAATTGGTTGACCAAAAGTTGCCTGATGACAATGTGAATAATGATCTTAAACGTGAATAACTAATGAGAAACTATTACCATTTTGCAAACTACGTCCTTCGTCCTCGTCGTCGTCGTCGTCATCTTGCGCGTTGTTCTGCATGTTCACCTTCTTGATCGTCTTTTTAATCTCCAATTTCGGGATGAAAAGCAACAGACAGATAACAGCAATGAACTTAACTATCATCTTGAAAATGACCAGTTTCAAGAGAATCTTGGCCAGGGTGAAGGCGTTAAGTTTGAGCGCGAAGGGCCAGGAGAAGTCGAACGACGGAAAACCAAGATGCACCGATTCGGTTATCCCATGTTGTGCTCCATAAGCGACATGCGGAACTCCGTAAGCTAAAATACTTGTCGTAAATGTACTGTCCACATATATTATCATTGTTATATAATTAAACAACTATCGACTAAGAATATTGGCAGCATTGACGGTTTTTTCCCACGCGATTTTAATTTCATCTAATAATTTTTGAACAATTTCTTTTCGTGAGCTTGATGATTTTCCTTTTTAAAACTTACTGTACGATTCTCTTTCAGTTATTTGAACTTTGAACATTGAGAGATGAAAGATCTTGAAAGTTATAAAAATTATAATAAGATCTTGAAGATTGAAATGTTCTTTTCACAACGATTCCTTGAAACTTGATTTACGATTTTTTCTTTTAACATTTTATCGAACTTTGGACATCAGGGTTAAACGATAAAATGGTGGGATCGTAGAAAATTGTAGAAATTCTGATATCTCAAGAAATGGAGACTGTTTTACAACCAAAATCTTGAAGATTGTATATTAGAATTAAACGACAGACATTCGAGAAATATCCTTACATCTCGTCATCCAAAGTTCAACAAAATAGTGACGAAAAATCGTAGATCAAATTTTCAAGAGGTCGTTGTAAAGTCATTGAAAATTTTAGTCTTCGAAACCACCTTGAATCTAATCGTGAAAAGAATTTTTCAATATTTCTAGACACGTTTGAATTTTTACAATTTACGAGAATAAAAAATATCCTTAATTTCCCATTCATTGCATAATATGAAGATATAGTCTTTGAAAAAAGACTCCGACGAACTCGGTTTGCTAAAGTAAAGGCTTATTATAGTTATGACAATTTTCCATCGTTAGTGGAAATATACAGTTATACTCTACTGTATACTGCTACTATGAGTATACAATTACACTCTCTACTACTATATGTTACTACTAAAAGCATACAATTATATTCTTTACTACTATATACTATTATTGAAAGTATACAATTATATTCTTTAGTATTATATACTACTATATACTACTATTATACTACTACTATACTAATTGTACTTTTTACTATTATATATTGCTACTAGGAACATACAATTATACTTTTTACTACTATAAACTACTACTAATTGTAAGGGTATACAATTACACTCTTTACCATTATATGCTATACTACTATTATACTACTACTATACTAATTATACTTTTTACTACTACATACTGCTACTAAGAGTATATAATTATACTTTTTATTACTATAAACTATTACTAATTGTAAGAGTATACAATTACACTCTTTACTACTAGTAAGAGTATACAATTATACTTTTTACTAGTATATACTATACTTTACTACTATGTACTACTATTATACTACTACTATACTAATTATACTTTTTACTACTATATACTGCTACTAAGAGTACACAATTATACTTTCTACTACTATAAACTGCTACTAATTGCAAGAGTATACAATTACACTCTTTACTACTAGTAAGATATACTTTTATACGATTGAATTTATAAGATATATTTATTTATTATATTTATAAGATATATTTTATACGATTATACTTTTTACTAGTATATACTATATCATTTTGGATTTATTGCCAATATCATGCGTCTGACAAGATGAAACGAACGCGGACGCAATACAATACCTCGTGTCTCACCTGGCTGTGGCTGCGGCGAATACACACCGACAGACGTGTACTCTCCTCCATAAAGAGAGTGATCGTTGTAAGGTGGCCCGTACGTTCCACGCGGTGGCTGCGTTTGAGGTGGTCCATAAGAGTTCCTCAGTCCGGAAAAGTCGCTGTACGGTCGTGTGGGCAATGAGTAGGAATCGCTTGGTACCATCGAGTACGAGCCCGAGCTCGTTTGGAGGGACAGCTCGGATCTTTTCGCTGCGAAGGACTGCTCCTTTCTTCGTTGAAAAGTGCCACTTCCTGCGCCATCCACCGCATCCACAACTCCTTCGCGAGGATCGCTGCTTGTCCGAGAGTGTCTCAATGCCTCCAAGTAACTGTCCCTGCCTCGTACGAACGGACCTCTGTTACTCCACTCGGCGATTCTTGTCGACGGTTCCACACCAAGAAGAGTCTCTCCCTTCGTCCTGGCTTCCGCTTTGTCCTCGCCGCGATCGACAGCCAACGTTCGAGAGATGTTCGTTTCGTTAACGATCGTCGTACTTGCATCGTTCGGCAGTTCGCCAGCATTCGCGATCACGATCGTCGCGAGCCAGATCGTTGATAACAGCGAAAAAACGCGGAGGCTCGTGGACGATGTTTCCCCGTGCTTCGCGAGCATCGCTCGCTCGGATAGAGGAGAAGCGGAGAGGCAAAAACTCGCGCGATCTCGCCCGCGAGCACAGAGGGTTCGAACGGTAGGTCGATCGAACAGTCGAGACCCTGGAGACTCGGTGGTTTCGAATGACGATCGAATCGGACAACGACGAGCAAACGTGTCTTCCACGATTCCGTCTTCTCCCCTCGAACGACGACAACGACGACGCGAACGATGCATATTAAACGCGTAACGGGTGTCCCAGCTCTGTATTCGAGGTTCGACTACGAAGGAATCGCCACCTCGCCGCATTAACCAGTTACCTGCGTTCGACTCGTCGTGTAAAATAAAAAGAAATTACCATTTACTTTAAAAACTCCAAATTTCAATGAGAAGTAATAAAAATGTTGTTTGTATTGCCAATGAAACTGCTATGTATTCTATAAAAAAAAAGAAAAGAAGTTTGAATCCGTAAAGAATCACGATATTCCTGCGAAAGTGTCATTTTGTGTGGTACCTTTCTTCGAAAAATACCACACTGAAATCAACTGAATTTACTTGAAAATTATTATTGTCTTTTGACAATATATTTAAGTTTTTAATAGCAATAATCTGTTCAACAATGAATTGTTAGCTTTCTGTCGAATAAAAATATAATCGCTCCTTGTTTTGCTTTACCTTTCTTTCGTAAAATTTATAATGGGAGCATTTGACCTGCGTTCGACGTGTATACTCGTCGTTGCTTGATTTTAATTACGCGTCCCAGAGGGAACTTTTAAAACTAAATTCCGCAGTGAACTGGTTAACACGTTGAATACCGGCGAGTCGAAGACTAGTAAAAACACATAATTCGAGTAAATGTTAATTTTTCAATATTAGCTTCGGTGTGAAGAAATTAATGCTACACAAAAATAACTTTATATTATTCGCGCATATTGTGATATATCGTTTTAAAGCATTGTAAACAAAGAAAAGATAAATCAACACAGTCTTCACAATGTGACGACTTTTTTTGCTTTGAATTTTTTCATCGTCCGAGCTTTCTTCATTTCATGGGACAGTTTCCTCTAGTAGGCTTGTACGCGAGGAAGTGCAACCCTCAGTTTCACTGTATGATAAATAAGATATCGTAAGGAGCAAGTGAAAATCGAAGAAACAGATTTCAGCGTCGTGGGTGGCCAGTGAAATAAAGCCAGTTTATAACTTTTTCTGTTATAGATAATATTTCAACATAATTGTTATTGTATAGTAAGAATATAATATAAGAATATAATAATTATTATTGTATAGTAAGAAATTCAACATGATATTCAACAGTGTTAACGGTGTCGCGATTCGTTCCCGAAACGACGAACTTTTCAGCGAAGAAAGGCGTTGATCGATTGTTATGCGTTTGGCGACGTTTCGATAACGGTGTTTCTCGATTCATCGAACCACCTACGATCGTGGCGATCCACTGACACACTTGTGCCATTGGTGTTGTATGTGTATGAAAAATCGGTCGCGTTCCAATGTGTTCCAACTGGCGGAAAGGGAAATTCGCTGAACGATCGACGATGGTAGATGAAGTTCGGCTCGTACGCGTGTTGAAACGACGCAAACGTTAATTAATTGTAAAATTACATTGTCGTGTATTGATCCATTATACCAGGAATCTGCGTTACTTTCAATGAAACGCATAACTAAATGATGAGAAATTTTCGACGATTTAAACTGTTATGACTTTGAAGAAGAACTGATTGATTTGAATATAATCTCCACTTTGACTGAATTTGTTTTCCTTTTTTTCTTTTTCTTTTCTTTAAGATGATTTTAAACGCGTCATATAACGGGAAAGTTTTTTTTCTCGAAAATTGTTACAATTCAAATATCTATAAAAATTTCTTTTCGTAATTAGATCTACGATCGTTTCAAAGAATGAAGTCTCTTCTTTGCAACGAGACTTTGAAACCTGCTATACGGATTTTTTTTTTCGGCATTTTATCGAACTTTGAACATTAGGGTTGTAAGGTATCTTGAATTTTTGACGTTTAACTCTAATGTTAATCAAAGTAGTGAAATAAAATGGTACAGCAGGTTTTAAGAAGTAAAGATAGTGATCGATTCAGTTATGAAAAAAAAATTTTTATCGTTTTCAAATTTCTACAATTTTCGAAAGAAAAGAAGAATCTGTACTTTCCCTCTCGTTACATGATGTAAAATTATCTTTACTTACTCAAATAGATTGTCTGATAGATCTTCTTTTACGAAATTATGCTCTTTAATGTATACCAACACATGTTTCGAATTGGACAAATTATGCAGGAATCTATCAATGTTTAAGATCATTTAAATACAATACGAATCGCAAAATTTTGTGATGATTGCAAATACATAAACTTGATAACTCATACAACAATTCTTACGTTATTACAGTTGTTATTAAAACTACCAAATCATAGTTCTAATCTAGACTTATTTACTTTACTATCTCTACTACTTACTATTAGAAAAATATTTTGAACAGATTACAAAATATATCCAATAGAAGTAAATGTCTCCTTTTCCTTTGAATTGAAATTTTCAAGATAAATTCACTTAATTTCATTGGATCATTTAGAATTGGTAGCTCTCTATCAGTTTGCTATAGCTAACAACTGCTATAAAAGAAACAATAATTCGAAACGTAACTTTAACAACGCTCGAGTTACCCTCACATTAGGCGTCCCTAGGCAACGATAATAAACGAACCTTCTATTCTCGGCTCATTGTGATTTTGTTGCTGGTAAAAACATGTCGCTCACTACTGTTCAAACATCGTGGGCGAAGTTTGGAAATTGTCGTGATTTCGCGATCATTAGAAGGAACATAATCGCGATGGCTTCCGGCATTTACGTTCGTTTTTATGATACTGCGAGTGGAGAGACGCAGGTGGAACGATTCGACGGTGGTGAGAGAGGAGATGGCGCTTGTTGTCTCGCTGGCCTTTCTGTAAGTTATTTTTTTTTAGATTTATTAGACATAGAACACTAACAACAAGTACCGTTTTTTTTTTTTTTTAATATTCTTTGCTTTTTTTTTAGATAGATATGAAACAGTGTTGTTCAACATTTAAAATAGCCATGTAAACTACAGCCCTCTTCCGCCATGAACGAAAGATATTTTTAGAAAATTTTTTGATAGTTTGAAATATTGAGAATTCTTGAAATGTGGTGAAGTTACTTAATTTATACATAAATATTGAACATTTTTGTAATTCTTCTTCGTTATATACCCCTATATTAAATACAGGAGACATGTTGTTAATGAAAATGAATAAATATAAATAAAATTGTAGCCTAGACAGTAACTAGACAGTAACTTCTCTGTATAAAATCACAGGCGAAATTTATACATATCTTTATACATTATTATTAATATTAATATATATATTTTTTTTATTTTATACATATATTTATATTATATTATCTTCACATATTATTAACACATTCTTTTCATCACGTCCATTTACATCTAAATTTCCAGTTTATAATAAATTCGAAACAATTGAAGAAACATGAAAGCAATTTAAAAAAAAAAACGAAGAAACCATTGGTAGAATGATGATCGCGATTAAAAGGTTTATTAATGTTTAATTAATGTTAAAAAAAAATAACTGTGAAACACTTCCCTTGGAATAAGAATGACAAACAATCTTGGCCAATAGATCAATAAAAGTCAGTTATTCGATTTGTTTGAAGGTTGCACCGATCTTCTCTGTGATCGAGAGGAAAGCCAACCCCAGGATCTCGGTGTTCGCTTATCCTACGATACGAAGAGTCAGCCTGTGCGCCGGAAGTCGAGAATCGAACGGCTACGCGTGTTGCACGTTCGCTGGCACCGAATACCTGCTCTCTCATGCAACTTTCCCAGATTTCTCACTGATAGTCTGGCAGTGGAGAACTGGCGAACGATTGGCGATAATAAACGAGACGGACGCGACGACATTCGACGTGGATCGCACGAGACTCACGTGAGTAGGATCATCGTAATATTTTCGAAAGATCTAACGAGCATTGATGATCGCGACCATAGTCCAATCGTGATCGTACAGTCTCGAACTACTGCAAACTACTTGTTGTCTTGTTCAAGCTGGTTAATGGCACCGTTCATCGTCCGCAACTCTTACAATTGATTAATTTTATGCCCCCCAATGAAGCCGATTAGATTTTTACAACCTTTCATCCGTTGTAATTCAAACTTCGTTGTTTGCGACTCTGCCAATCGACTGCGTAACGCTCACAATTCGTTAAACGTCCTGTTTCTGATGACCTGTTTAGAATTCGGAGTTGCAAACTTCTCTTCGTTCTTTTATATTTTCACTCGTTCTCTTCTTTTTTTCTTATTTGTTTATTAATAACGTAAGACCGTATAAAATGATAAGACATGTATTCAAATGATAATCATCCAACGAAAGTATGTAACGAAGTTGACATTTTTTTTAACTTTTGACTCATTTGACGAAATGAAATGATTCGATAAATAATATTTATCGTTTCTGCAGATATCCTGCAACGCGAACAGGCTAATCTCTTGCAATTTCCTTTCCCGAATTGAAATTTCAATCACGGATTTGAAAAATTTAGACACAGTTACAGAATTGGAATTACGAATTCAGACTTAAATTCAAGTCGAAATCATAATCTTGTTATCCGTAGGACTTGGACCGTGGTGCGAATTATGAAAAGAGTTTCTTATATTTAATAAAAGTCAAGGAAAGAAACGTAGAAACAAAAATAATCTTGTAAAGATTAAGATTGACTCTTCGAGGCTCAATTTTAAACACTGAGTTTCCAAGGACGAAGTTCAAAGCTTTCAGGCTGAAGCTTTAAGACTTGAAATAAACAATATCATCGGCGCACGTGACGATTTCACATTGCATACAATTTAAATAGTTCGAGTCGTCGAATTCAAGATTTCGAGCTTTCGCTGTTTTGCGAAGTTTTGAACCTCGAGGCTCAGCACAACATTAGATAGAATATTTCTTCTATGATATGAAATTTTCTTGAATCCATCAATTTTTCTCAGATGCTCGACCGACTCGTCCTGCTTGCTAGCACGATTCATGCCATCCACGGGCAGACTCACGGTGTATCGTATACTAACCTGCTCGAAAACAGTCCGACTTTTTCCGATCGAAGCAAGCTTCGAGTCTATTGCAGTCTCCTGTTCGTGGTCCGTGGATGGTGCTCTCCTTTGTTGCGATGAAACCGGCACTGTTCGGTCCATTCGTTTCGAAGAGGAGCAATTGGATAATCGGGCACGAACGATTCTTAGATCTTCTGGCAAGGACGATTCTTCTGAAGCGATTCCTTCGCGAAATAATCGCATGTTGGTGGGTCACGCTGATGGAACGTTGGTCGTCGATCGTCCGATTACAGGCAGTTGCGAAGCTCGTGCTACGGTAAGAGACCGTACAATCTGATCTAAGGCACAGCGAAATGTGTAGAATGAATCGGAAGTGACATAATCCAGGTTGCGGATGTTTGCGGACATTATATTTCTATGGAGATGATTGATAAAAATAGGAAAATAGAACGTTGGTAGAAAGGTATTTTAGATATTAATATTAATAATAACAATCTGATGTTATTTAGGTATTACCTTAATCTGAAAATTATGTCAGATATTATGATCTCATTTAGGATGTAGTGAAATTGTAAAATGATACAGTTGGACAATTTTATATCCTTATGAAGATAATTTTAATTAAAAATAGAACGTAGATAGAAAATTGTTAAATATTAATTAATCAATTAATACCTTGTTAATTTAGTAATAAATATTGATAATAATTATTAGAAGGAATATTACACCTTGAATATTTTATATGTTTTTCCATATTACAACCATCGTATGTATCTCTGTAGCAGAGTTTTCGTAAATGAATAATAATCCGCAATCCATAAATACAGCGAAACTGTCAAATAAATCAAAAGTTGCAAAACGATATGGTGCGCATATAGTGAATCTGTAAAATGAATAGAAAAATTAATGTTTTGAATATCAAAATGATCGAACTGACAGAAACACAAGTGGAAATATACTTAAATGCCGCATAATTATGAAGAAAGATAGTATGTAAGAACCAATTCATAACAAACCGATATACTTTCTATAATTTCAACTATCGACACTTTAAATAACGATATAAAAAATGCATATATGTATATATATAATTATTATTATTATTAGCTTGTTTTTAATTCTTGTTGTACCTAAATTAATTTATAGTTTTTCTTGTACTTTAAATACTTAAATTAATTTACTTAAATAAATTTAAAAAAAGTATATATATATATATATATAATATTGAATCAAAGAATATATATATACTTGCATATATATAAGAATTTGATCTACGATAAGTTATAGTATATATGTATCAAACTTACAATCTCGTTATGACTTATCTCATGGTATTCAATAACGATATACAAGTTTTCCATGGAGTTTATTCATCCTGTAATTTAGGTGGAGATTCACCTCGTTGACAGTTTTACAGAAAACCATGGAAAGATCAGGAAGACGAGTGGCGTTCAGCTTGGAGCATATTACTACCATCATATCCAAGACATGCAGAAAGCGACTCCAATCGAGACAGAATCTTGATTCTCGGAGGGAACGGTGATCTATTCCAAATGATCGATGCGTCGCGCGATCATCCGCCTCGCCTCGAGTTTCTACTGCGGGGCGACGCGAATTACATGAATATCGCTTCGTTACATGGCCCATACCTAGCAGCTCTAGATCAGACTGATCGTCTGACAATTGTGGACGTTGAAACCGGTAAATTCGCCTCACCGGCGATACGTTTGACGCATCATGGCAAAGGTTGGTTTCAGATCAATTTCAAAGTAATCGTATAAATTGCCGGACTCGAGACATTTGTAAAATATTTCGTTCTATTTAAACGTTAAAGCCTAACTTGAGAAGTTGCTCTATATTTGTCAAATATTATGAAACTGTCGTGTGAACACATATATTCATATATATTAGTTTTCGATTTATAGATAATTGAGGGAAATATTCAATGTGTCCGCCTTGTATCCCAAACAGTCTCGAATTCATTTCTTGTAGATCGTGCGTATTATTATTCATCACAGGTAAATTATTATTCATCGAAAGATATTTCTAGTAAACGGTAGATAAGATTTTAACATGTTCTAATATGTGCTGAGGCACAAAATGAACAACACATCGAACATTTTCTTCCATAATGGACGTCATAGAATGTACACATATTTTTCACTAATTTTAATTTATATTTAATAATATTTTAGGATTATATACACTTTATATACACAACTTTTATTACTTAAATAACTGTAAGTTATATAATACTATAACTTTATATTAACATATTATATATGTAATATATATAATATTATAACATTATATATAATAATAATTATAATATTATTTATTACAATTATATTATTA